TATAAAAGCATTAAGAAAGCATTTTCTTACAACATATTCTTCCTTACACAAAATGGGATTATTGTACACTTAAGAGTGGACAAGACATAAGAAAATCCATTATGCTGTACTTTAAGTTTCACATGTTGAGGCAGAAATGTAGTACTCGCACATTAATATGTGAAGAGCCAAACTGATTAATCATTTTCAAAATCTGTGATCTTGGCCTTGTACAAACATACTCAAACTGAACGATGTGGAATGATGTCACTGCAAAATCCCCCTAAAATGTTACCTTACAAGTGCTAGCATGCATCTGTTTTTATAAAAAACAAAGTTTTCAATGAGCCAACCAGTATTTAGTCAAATACTTTTAATGGCTGGTCATTTAGCATTGCCTGTGACAGGACAAAAGTTGCTCTTTTGAAAGTGTATAGTTGTTTTTTGTCTTGTCTCTGAGGAAATAAATTTTAAACAAGAAATAAAGCTTTAAAATGGAGAGATTTTACTTGGTTGTATTTCAACTGCAGCTCCTATTAGCAGATTAAAGTGCTGGAAAGTAAAAATCTGAACAATCAACCTGGCACCGATTGAGATTTTGACTGTCTACTAATCTATATGTATGGACTAGTATGATATCGTAGAGGTATAAAAACCCTGAATACAAAATAAAACATTTTGATGATTGTACAGCATTAACACAACAAAATAGCAACAAACAGGACTTTATCTTTTCACACTTTGAGACTTTTGTTTTCTCCAGACCTTTTAGCAGAGTTGATTTCCCCTGACAAGACGCCTTTTCCCAGACTCCGAGAATGAGAACGGAGAGAGTCGTATGTTCTAAAAGCCAGAGACGGATGACTGACTGCCTGGATGATTGGAGAAAAGTAACTTACTGAGCCGTCTCCAAGCACTGACCGTTTTGGAGCAACAGCGTCTGCTGAAGCACCAGAATTCGTCTGATTGTGTTTAGATGACAGGATTCCTAAAGGGACCGTTCTGATTTTTGGAAGTGAGATGATGTGAGGATTTCCTTTGATAGGCTGCAGGTTTTAATGAAGTGAGTTTGTAGAAAGAGACATTATTGTAGCTTAACGGTGCCTTTAACAGGGAGGATTTTAACCTTTGTTGAGGTTTAGAGTATTGTCAATATTAATTGGCTCAGACTCTTATAATTTTTTGTTTGTTTGCTTAGGTTCCTCATGTCTAAAATCTGCTCTGTCAGGGACTCGATCTGATTGATCATTAGCCTTTTTCAACAAGGAAGGTCTTTGTTTTTTTACAAACAAACTTTTTGTTATTATAAAATTACTTTTTGTTTTTAGAGATGCACAGAAGGTCATTAAGTTTTATGTCTCATTTAAAAATGTGATATTACAACTTATTGCCTTTAAATAATTTAGCTTTGTTTTTCTTTCATATCTAGATTATGGGTTGTTGGCAAGATCTGGTGAATTTTATGTCAGTGGCCCCCTTAAACATATTTAAGTTCTTTTTTTACCAAGTGTAAAGTAGTTCTTACACTTGCCAAGCTTGAAACATGGCTGAATAAAAAAATAAAAAAAATCCATTACTTTACTTTTGTTTCCTCATATTTTTTGTTAAATCCTAATTAAGAAGGATGACTCCACTTCCCCTGGTTGTGTGAAACAGCTAAGTTTAGAGCAGTTTGGAAAGGTTTGTTGGAATCAGCACGACCCTGCATAATGTTTCAGGATGCTTGTGATGAAGACACTTTTAGTAGTGGTAGTTGGGCGTCATCCAGAACCAGCGCAATCGTTGAAACAAACAAAAATGAGACTGAAAATAAAGCAGTTTGCAATGTGTGTCCAGAAATTGAAATTCTTTCAGTGAACCACTACAGGAAAAATACAACAACTTGTGTCAGTACGTTTGTTCTTATAGACTCCAGTTTGTTTTTTGGTAGCTACAGCATACTCACGTAGTCATTTTGTTTTCTTCAATGAAATTACTTCTAAAAACAAAATTAAGTTCACGTTTAGTGGTCTGATTTTTGCTAAAACCTCATATTGAAAAAGAGTCTTTGAAATTCAAAAGATTGGAGATGAATAAGACCTTCATCCACCCTGAGATAAAAGTTAATTAGAAGCAAAAGTTCTAACCATTTACTTCAGTTGTTTCCACTCAGTTGAAGAAAATTGAGACCATTTACGAAATACTGAAGATTAGCTATGATTTGTGTTAAGCATTAGAAAAATACACCCTGTTTTTACCATCACATTTTACCTTCAAAATGTTTTTTTGACTGTAAACGTGTTGATTACATTTCAACTGTTTGGTACAGCAAAATTCACAAATGTTGGCTGACAATAAAAATAATTTGTTCTATGATTAATATATCTGTCATGATGGTATTGTCATGATCCGTTTTTCTGTATATTTATTTTTAAGGGTTTTCTGTGTTCAGTTTCTCTCCTGTGAGTCTCTGTTGTCTCTGCGTCTTCCCCGTTGATTGCTTCCCAGGTGTGTCTCATTCTCTGATTACCCTCCATGTGTATTTAAACCCACCTGTTGTCTTTGTCTCTTGTCAGGTCCTTGTCTATGATAGTTCGTCTGCTGGCACAGTTGAACTGTTAAGTCCTGTGTTGGTATTAGCTCGTTGCATCNGTCTTTGTTTAATTCAGTTGCTACCGGTGCTGAGCCTTTGTTTTCCGCTCTGCCGTGCTGCCTGAGATCTGGACTGTTTTTGAGCTACGCTCTTCATTAAATTAATCATTTTCTTCTACAACCTGAGTCTCTGCGTCTCTCCTCACCACCACCAACCACTCCACATGACGGGTATAATACTTATTTAAGCTTCATAATATTTAATGTAAATAAGAGGAATTTTGCACTTTTGATGTAATAAGAATATTATCATAGCTATGCAGATGACAGACAGATCTACATTACAGTCATCCAGTGAGTATGAAACCATTCAAATGTTGAACAGATGATCAGAACAAATCAATTCATGGATGTACCTCCACTTTCTTTTACTGAGCAGAAATGAAACCAAAGTAATTATTTTTGCACCTTAGGAGAAAGATCAAAAGTCAGCGCACATATTCAGTTATAAGCACTAGAAACTACTGGCTGAAATGTGTGTAGAAATGGACTTGAACCTTCAGGGTCACAAAAAGACAATTGCAAAATTGGCCTCCTAACACCTGACAAGACTTTTCAGGTTTAAAGGACTAATGTCCCAACAAGATCTTAAGAATCTCGTCACTGCGGTTATCTTTCTCAAATTGAAAACTGCAACAGTCTGAAACTGATCCAGAACGCTGCTGCTCACTTTCTCACTAAAACTTGGAAGACGGAGCACATCATCCCAGTTCTGAGATCCTTGCATTGGCTCCCTGTATCTCACAGAATACATTTTTAAATACTTTTGTTAGTTTATAAGTTACTGAGTGGTTTAGCACCAAAATATATTAAATATTTGTTGTTCAACCTACCAGCTCACACAGTTTTTCTGGTTTAAGGCTATTCTGCACCCCAGAGTCAGAACCAAACATGCAGATGCAGCAGTCAGTTTCTGTGCTCCAGTACTCTGGAACAAACCTAAAGAAGTCTTAAAAACTGCTAGAAACAGAGTTCCTTTATATGAAGGCAAAAACCTATTTGTTTAGGGCTGATTGTAATAAATAACTGCTGGAACAAAGATTAAATATAGACTGGATTGCAGTGTTCTCTTTAATTTAACACTATAATGTGGTGATTCTTTTTTTAATTGGTCATTGTATTATGTTTTTATCAACATTTAACCCTGAAAATCATGCTAGGCTTCTTAATAACAGCTTTTGTTCTCTAACCAGAGACAAATGTAAGATTTTGGACTCCTCAGGTCTTTATTTGTTGTGATTGATGGAAAAAATTGATAAAATGCAGCGATGACCCATTGTATTTTTAATAATCATGTGTTAAACCAACCCAGCATGTCAGTTTATTTTTTATCTAAAATCTTTCTGATTCTGTTGAACCAACTGAGCAACCCTTTAAAGCCTGTTTGTTTTTTTTAGAAGTTCCTTATTTGAGAACTGAAAAAGCTGGAATACAGAATGGAAATGTTTTTTTTTAACAGACTCTGCCTTATTTCAATTTCTAAAAGAGAGAAATAACTTAATATAAATAGAGATAAGCCCAAAACTATTCATACCCCTTGTTTTTAATTTCAGTTGCAAAATCAAAAGTGGCTAAAGTGGAAACATGCAGATCAGATCTTGGTTAAAAGCAAATATTGGTAAAAGCTGATTGGTGCAGTGCTTTTTTTTTTTTTTTTTCTTTTGTCAAGATCCCAAATGGTTTTCCTTCTGCCTCGGACAGTTTGCATTTCTTCCTCAGAAACCTTTCGGCTTCCTTCTGCCTTGGAGAACAGTGTCAGGATGTAGAGTCCTTCTGATAGCAACCCACAGGATGGGTTCCTATCCTCCTGTCAGTCTTCTGCTCTTATCATCTCCCCTTCTGTCAGCTTTAAACCCTGATGCACCCTATCGGCCTTTTCTCTGTCAGCGTTACCTTTGAGTTTTTGTCAGCTCAACTGTCCTGCTGCCAACCATCTCTTCATTTTTCTTGTGTCCTTCCACCTTATTGCCTCACAACTTCTCTTTGCTCTCAATGGTTTCCTCTGCCTTTCTAGAGCAGTCATTTCAGACCTTTGTTTTTGTAGTCAGTGTTTTTGTTTCTTCCTATTTTCACTTTTCGTTTTCATGTTCTCTCCATTTAAATATTTCCTTTGCTTTTTTGTTGTGGTTTTCCAAGCAGACTGCATACTTCCTTCATCCTGTTCTCACTGGAAGCACTTAGAATTTGGTAAAGTGATGCTGTTTGAATTGCTGTCACTGCGACAGTGTTTGTACATTTTTCAAAGCCTACTGGACTACTCTTATGGCTTAAATCTTCAGAGAATTTCCAGCCCTTTTTGCATCAGTGGTAGAAGCTGACAGAAATGTGGCTAAAGGATATTTATGCCAAATGAAAAACATGTAATTTTTCTGTCTCTTGTCTCTTTGCAGGTCTTCCCTGACGTGCCCTCACTGCCTTAAGCAAAGCAACACCTTTGACCCATTTTTATGCATCTCTCTACCGCTTCCCCTGCGACAGACCAGGTAATGAATAACGTGCAACACAAAGGGTATCATTGCAATTACAATGAGCCTGGCTGTCAAACACATACAGTGAGCGTTACACACCTCCAATAGAAGGTCATTGTCATACTAAGTGAAAAACTGTTGTAGCCAAATATCCCTGACCAATCTCTGTGTGTTGTCCCCATTTTTTACTGCACTGGAAGTCAGATGCTGCAGCAAGACGGTACAACTTTGACACATGAAGACATTTTAACCAGAAAACAATGTAACAATGAAAATAGGCGTTTAAAATACAGACATTATATATTGACAACAGATCCAAGTTATGAGGCACAAAGGTCAACCCACAAACTGAACTTATAGATTTTTCAAAGTATTTATGAAGGATGTTTTTGACACTATGGTTACTTTTGGCTTGTTTCTGCTGTTGCTTTTAATTCTAAAATTGCTTGTCTGATCCCCGACTTCCTTAGGTTATAATTCAAGGTACGAAATTGAACTGAACTTACCATTGGCCCTCCAATTATAGATGTTTTTTTTTTTTTTTTTACCTCAATTTTGACAAGTTATTTGCAAATATGCATCTGCCACTAACTGGCAAACTTTTAAAAAATCAATTTATATGTTTAAAATCGTAGCAGTTTATTAAGTGCAGCAAAATTACATTTCATTAGTAATGCATGTTCTGCATTAGTTTTTTCCACTATGTATTCCAAATCAAGGCAACATTTAGCTTGTTACATTAGAGAAGTAAGCACCCACAACAACCACATAGGCACTTTAAAGCTTTACACGTCATTTAAATATGAAATAACTTTGACGTCTGCACCAGTTGTATAACTATACATTCCCCCTCCTACTATAGTCACACAATAAATAGCTAAGTAATCAACTAATAAATAACAATGTCACATGGATTTCTTACATTCCGTTCCTTAATTTAAGTGCAGCAAGTCCTCCAGGAAATCTTCCTATCTGCAAGCATGCAGATGCCTCCACTCTGAATCTTCTCTGCATGGCTTCCTCTGACTTGACTCCAAACTCTGTTCTGCAGCTGCAGTTCCCTGACAGTGTGGGCTCTGGCCACTTTAATTTATTCCAGCACAGGAGGGAATTCTTTTTGGTTCAGTTTGGGCGTTATTGGCAACACGTTGACCAGAAGCGCACACTGCACTGTCCTGCTGCAGCGGTATCCCTGCTGAATGCCTGATAAGTCTGAGGCCCCCTGAGAGGACGCAGAGCTGGGCTGCCAGCGTGGCATCAAGGCTGGGTGCTGCAGATAATGCCAGTATGCAAGGAGGAAAAAACAGAAGACAGTCAAATCATTTCGAATTTGCTCTGATCATATAACATATTTACTCCTAATTGCTCTAAATTCTGAAAAATCTACTTTTTTATTATATTGGATTGCTCTTGTGTTTTCTATTGGTAAATATTTTAAGAACAGAGCAAAAAGTGTTGTGTATATTTAGTGCAGGTTAACAAAACTGAATAATTGTCAAACATTAGTTTTGAAGGTGTGTTTGCTTCGTGCTGCTCAGCACAGAAGGCAGAATTTCCCCTTATCTCCACAAGTGTAGTACAATGTACAGGAAACACTAAAACAAACTCTGAAGGGTCATTTGTCCTTCCTGCAGGATAAAGTAACATCTGGAAACCCAAATTACAACAGAATACCCAGCAAATACACCTCCCACAACAGCTAGTCTACAGTGGTGTTTTGCCTGTCCCTTCTGGGCCACTGTAGTAGAATGGTATAGGAGTTTTGAATAGATGATGCCTATGTGAAGATGATCAGTAAATATGATCAGCAAATGACCTGCTTGGTCATTGCTAAAAAGCTGGCTGTTCAGAATGACTCTTAAGTCATTTCCATTGAAGGTTTAGTGGAAGGAAAAACTGTGGAACAAACAGTTACATTCGCATATAGTAATTCATGAAATGATCAAAAATAAACAAATGACTTGTTTCAGTCTCCATGTCAGGAATTTATATAAAACTTGAGTTTTTACTTTGAGTTATCATAATTTACTGAGAGCAGTACTAACATATATATGAGTATAGATCAGGTTAAGCAATAATTTCCACATATTTTCAGCCACAATGTCTGTAAATACTGAGATTAATGATACTCACACAACAGTAAAACTTGTCTTGCACATTCCTTAAGTGGAGTTTACTCTGTTGTGCAGATATTTCCTCAGACAAATGGTTGGATGGTCTGAGTTACCAACGGAGTTGCTAGAAAAATACCATCATCACTGCAGAAATGCATCTCTTCCAGTAATAAGCATTAAATAGCTTAGTAACGGTTACATCTGGGCATGTTCTAGCTGTGGCATGCTTTCTGAAGCTATAATTTAATTACTTGCTGTTTCAACAATTCAGGGTATTAGTTGTGTGGGCTGATGAGGAAAATGTGTCAGCAGAGTTAGAGCATCTAAAATCCTCATTTATAAGATGACATCCCTATTTACTGTTCCACCCGTCTTGAAGTTACACATCCAAACAAAACAGCGGCTCAGATCCTGCTCCCCCCCTCCGGCTGTCTGCCCTGTCAGCCCTGTGACTGCTAACACGGTGCTCACCTGAATAATGCATGATGGGAAACGGGAAGTGGAGGCGGTGTCAGCGATTACACAGTCTTCATCGTCAATGAAATGGCATAATAATTTTGCTGCTATCCTATCAACTTCTTATTACTCTCCATACTTGTTTTCTTTGTTTTATTCACCTTCCTTCTTTCTGTCCTTTTTTTTTTGTGCCGAGTAGAGCGTCCTCACTTCATTCTCGTCTTTGGAGGTGTTGGTGATGGCTGTAAAAACGACACGTCTCTGCACACAGAAGCTTCGTTTTGGACGATTACTGATTTAGATGTACTTGTCTAGTCGAGCATATTGTGGAAATGCTTGAAAAGGAGAAAGTGTCCAAAATATACACAAAGTATCCACAGCTCTTGAGCTTTCTCATTATTTGTCAAGTTGCAACACAGACCTGTAGATGTTCTGTGATAGACGAATGCAAAGTAGTGCATGTTTATGACATGGATGGAAAAAGATGTATGGTTTTCCAAGTAGTAAACTGAAATGTTTAATTCATTTGGGTCAATACTTGGTGGAACCATAAATGGTGTTGACCCAAGGATATGTCTCTATCCTTTTAGACGTCAGCGGAGAGAAATTTTTTTACTTTTTCTTTCTTGTAAAAGAGAACATATTGGATGTGGAGTCCCTGTGAACATCAGTTTTTATGTTCCGTTTGCCTTTTTCTTTATGTTTCAACTTTGGGTCATTTGGTCAGCACATGAAAATGCTCTGATCGTAGTAATTGTAGATTTGGGGTCACTGGCGGAGCTCCCTCTCAAGGCTTTTGCAGCTTCGAACAGTTAGAATTTCCCTTTATTTAGCTCCATCCAGCTTCACATCAGCAATAACTGGATTATTTTTTGAAGAAAACTATAAACGGACTGCTGTCACCAACATTTTTTGGATGGTGTGTTCCTGGTGTTAATTCTTTCACCTTGTAGCCACATGGAACTTTGCATAAAGGACAAATTGTTGCATTTTTGGGACCAAAGTATTTAAATTTATATTTACTGTGTTCCCATATGCTCCTTGGTATTCACGATGCTGTTTGTTCGCTGAAGTCCTTCAATGAACTTCTGAGGCCTTCACAGAACAGCTGAATTTATACTGAGACTAAATTATTTGCCATTTATAAATTAGGTGACTTTATGAGGGAATTGGTTGTGCTAGATCTTATTTAAGGGTTTCAGATGAGGGAGAAATTACCTCCAATCAACTCCACACTTTCAGGTTTTGACTTCAGAGTGATTTTATGGATATTTTCTTCTTCTCATTTTATAATTCCTCACTTTGTCTATCTTATAAAACCTCTATAAAATACACAGAAGTTTGAAGCTGTAATGTGGCATCTTTAAAACATTTCCTAGAATAGGAATGTTTTTGTAAAACATTACAAAGCAAACCGAAAAGCTTAGAAAATGATTAAACCTCTTCTGTTTTTTTCACCACATTTAGATGGTTCCTATTTGAAAAAAAAATATTTTTCTATAGAGGAAATCAGTCATGTTTCATTAAATGTTGAATTTCTTTAAGGAGCAGGACTCGGTTGAGCCTGAACATCTCATGAACAAACATGATTTTTTTTTTTTTCTTTGCTGCCGCTGGCTTCACTGGATCCCAGACACATTAATCTCTGTTTGGCATTGTGACAGGTCATAGTTACTGTGAATGTGCCTTGCTTGACAATATTTATGAAATACCTGTATCTGTTTCTACATACAAATATGTAACCTGCTCAGTGTGACAATCCTTGGTATGAAGGTTTAGTTATTCCACGAACTGTGTGAGCTCAACAGTTTTCCGTGCCTCGTCATTTATCTTACTCACCACCCATACTTTCACCTTACACCTTTATATTCACAAGGATACACACATTTGCTATCTGTGTCCCACAGGCCGCTGTGTGTGACGCTGGTGTTCAGCACAAAGGGTCAGAGGTACCTGCGGGTTGGGCTTGCCGTGCCTCTTTTTGGTTCTGTATCCTCCCTGAGAGCCATGGTAGCAGCAGAAGGCAACATCGCTCCCGATCAGGTACACACATACCGACGTTGCACTGGTCAGAAAAATGCCTAAAGAAAGTATGAGTTGTTTGTGTTCATCGGCTTCTGACTTGTGGTCCTGCAGATGATGCAGCACCACACGGTGCTGCATCATGGTGTCAGTTTTGTCATTTTTGTTTAGTGAGCTGGTTGCAAAATGACCCCTGTGGGTCAAAGCAAAACTCCCAGTGATGTATGGTCTTCGTTGTGTCCAGGTACAGGTGGAGTTTATTTGGAAAAACAACATAAATGTTACATTTCAGACCTGGAGCGTTCTTCCTTCACTTGTTCAGGCACCAGGATAGTTCAAGTTCAGAGCAAAACTATCCATCCATTATCTTGTCTCTCCCTCCATTCCTTTGTCCACACATCATCCATTAATCTGTCCATCCATCATTTGCCCATCCGTTTGTCCATTTATCAGTCCAGTACTCCGCATAAATCAGGGATTTGAACCAGCAACCCAGCAGTTACAGGACAAATCTCCTCCTTCCTGAGGGTTTCATATTTAATGCCTTATCTTAATGGAAATACTTGTGCTAGACTTATTTTAAGTTTTGCATGCATATTTTAAAAATGGGAAAATAAGTAATGACAACCATGGAAACTTTTGAAATGTTTTTACGTGGGAAGCATTGAGGAGCTTTGTAAGGCACTGTTTGCACTCCCTAAGCAGTCGATGCTGTTATTTAAAAGGCTTGCTTAGCATTATACCACACTAAAACATTGTTTGCTTTTTAAACCATGAGCCAATAAAGCTAATGCTCTGCATAATCCATTCATAAGAAAAAAAAATATTACTTCAAGTTGAGTTTTTCTTTTTATAAAATAAATAGGAACCTTGAGGTTTCTGCTATAAGAACTGTTTCAGAAACATTTGATGTTTACGTTTAATGTCCTTCCATCTGTGGTACAGGTCATCCTGTCCGAACTTTACTCCACCGGTTTCCAGCGTTCCTTCTCAGACGACGACGACTTGACCGCCATCGCCGACAGCGATGTCGTCTACGCCTTCCAGGCTCCTCCAAACAGCAGTCGTGGGGGCTCTGCTCCTCACTCAGGTAACCCTGGCAACATTCTTTATAAACCCATTTATTTGTGCACTGATCTAGCAAATTTATTCATCCATCGTTTTGAATTTTTTCCTCTTTCCTTCGTACCTCTGATTAACTTTCAGTCTCAATTAATGATGATTACGTCTATAGATGCTTTTTTATTTTTACTCTCATTGAGCCCATTTCTGTGATTACTCTGTTTGTTTTCGAAAAGCACACAATTTACTTTGGAGATGAAAGAGCTCTCATTCTGTTTGGTCATGCACTGCTGCATCCTAACAGATTAAACTCAATTCAATTTAATGTCTGAATGGGGGGCATCATACAAAATATGAAGTTTGCTGGAGTCACATCTCGCATGAAAGCCTCTGCTGATGAAATTTATGTAGCTGCAGTTTAAATTTCTGAAGTCTCTGCTCTGTCCCAGAACTTTATTTCCTAAAACTCTGAGAGCGCGCCTCCTCTTCTTCTTCCTCCTCCGTCTTCATACAAAACCAGACAACCACTCCTCCCATAAAGCACATTCTTCATAATACACAGGTTTTTTATTTTTATTTTATTGTGTACACATTTTCCGAATGAGATTCAGACTGCAAAAACAAAAAAAGCCGGTTGTTAAAATAATGAATATTTAAAGAAGCTTAAACAAGCAGTAGAAATTTTTTTGATGGCAGAATTAAGCCCCTTCTTCTTCTTTTCCTTTCTTCTTTTGGAGAGCTGATTTGTAAAAATAAATGTACTGGTCTATTTTTTTTATTTTTTTTTTAGTTTTCCTGTATTCTGTTAATTAGTTTAATTCATATTTTAAACTATGAGATGAGAGTTTTGCTGCTGATTTCTGATCTCAGGTTTTTCTTAAACTTCTGAGTTTGAAGACATTGATAAGTAAATCTCTGACATTGTCTCATTTAGCAGATCAGATTATTTTGGTTGTTCTAACTGACCTAAAACTGAAATTTCATCCAAGTTAACTTCAGACAGTGGAGAAAAAAAAAAGGTGTCCGTCTTTCTATTCTGTGCATATAAGCGTCTAGTTTCAGCTGTATGACTTTGCAGAAATCTTTTTTTTTTTTTTTTTTAAGCCTCTCGCACAGTTTATTTGACCTAACTGATTCTGAACATTTTTGACATTGAATCCCTCCTTCATTAACAGCTTTCCCTGCACAACCTGTTGGATATGAAGAGCCGACAGATCAGGAATTATTTTTTATTTTTTTTAGTTTCCAACCCAGTCACCAATCAATTTCTTGGTGAATGTTGAATTTCCTTACTGAAGTTTTTTGAAAATCATAAAATAAGCTTACCTAAATTCAATAGTGGGACAAAGATCATGCCTCTAGCCCCATCTGTTGAGAAATAGCTTGAATTTGTATGTACTGCCTTCCAGGCTTTTATTCTTCAACTTCAACCTTGCTCATACCGAAAGCAGGGAGACGTCTGCAGCCTGCTTCATCAAAACCATTTCATCTTCATTCTGTAGACGCCTACATACATACATACATCATATCTGAAAGCTAAACAAGCATTTCTTTAACAGATCGGTGACCGTGTCAGAAAGAGACTTCAGGGGTGCTGTGTAATTACAGTCACTGAGATGTTAGCGGTGCGCTCTGTGGTCAATTTGTTGTTGCCATTTAACTCTACACCCACGGTTCTCTGAAGCCGTAAAGAAAGCGCAGCTCCCACTGAGCAAGAATAATTAACTGTAATTCAATTCTCTGGACATAAAAACTAAAAGCTCTTAACTTTCTCAGTGGGTGGCATTTCTATTTTGGCTTTACACTCTGCGACGTCTTCACAGTTATAAGAGGACTGGCCTACCGCTGTCGCAGAGAAACGATGGTGTGCTGCCAGTTACTCTGCCGTCTATAAACAGACTTATATTGATTCCTTTGAGTTTTCTGTCAATATCATGAAACTTTACACTTCTTGTAAACTTGGGTCAAGTGTAGGGGTAAGAGGTTGTTATCCTAGAGCCGTCCAGATTATCTTTTTCGAACTTCTCCCTAGAAGGCCTCTACAAAGAAACTGTGCTTAGATTTATGGATGAAATGGGAGACACATCCGCGGTCACTTAGTAAGTCATGTCGGTAATAAATCCGCTTGAATTATAGTGTAGATGGTCATAAATGTTCGGCCTTTAAGGGCAGACCTTACATGCACATTTAAGCAGAAAATCTCTGCTTAGCAGAAAACATCAAAGTGTTTTCTGCTAAGCCAGTTATCGCAAATGTTTGATTGGCAGTTGTTGTTGTTGAGGATGGCACATCCAGTTATTAGGTTCAGGGGGCCATTTTCATTTCCACACGGAGTCAAGCTGGTTTGGATTGCTTCTGTCGTTTAATAAATCATTTGGAAACACCTTTTTGTATTCACTGACATTCTGATTTTTCTGTGTTACAATTAGATGACCTGAAAGTTTAGTGAAATCAGCCTCAGATTTAGGACTAATAAACAATTTAGGCAGATGAGTAGAGAAGCTGCAGTTAGACCAGAATCTGATGATTTTAAGTCTAACCAACCATGATGTATTCTTATGATTATAGACAGACAGAAAAGAAATAAAGCAAAACACATCAACTCACCCTCGGATGCATTCCCTACTCCTTCAGATTTTACTTCTCTTTCACTCCTAAGACAAATATCCCATCGGATAACCTTAGTTTCAAACACTGCTTTGAAACTATGTTTTTTAATATTTATTTTGAAGTATTGCATTACAAAAGATTGATTAAAACAGCAAATTTTGAAATAATACCCTAAATTTTGCTGCTTGAAGTGGCGTTTGACTTTTTCAGAAGAGTTGATGCGCTAAAACAGAGATGGAAACGGATGTGCTGAATAAATTCCAACATTTACCTCACATGACTGATGAGCCGTTTCTGTTGTGTTCATGGATTAGAATTGCGCTGAATTGAAAAACAATGTTTAGACAACTTGTTTCTTGTTGGTAAATCAACTTCATGAACTTCAGTTTCTGAGTTAAAACCAAAACAATTTCCTTGTCGACTTAAATTGCATTTTCAAGGCAGCAGGTGGACTTTCATTTTCAAATTAAACCCACTCCAAATGTTTTTCAGTGCACTCTTCAGTCATTTCTACATGAAATTGACAGAACGTCCTTTTCATGTAGAAAAGGACGTCCTACATAGAAACTCTACATAGAAACTCTTTCCAGATTTAAGTTACAGCCTTACTGTAAAAACGTGCACTTGTCGTTGCTTTAGTATCAATCATACTGATGGATATCCATCGTCTGTTTCATCGGAGAGGATGTTACCGCTGATAAATGTCAAACAATTACCAGCCAATTAGAGTTATTCACTTGCTTGAAAGGTTTTCCCATCTTTTCATTCATTCCATCCGTCCACCTATCAATCAGTTCCTCTCTCCATTCATCCATCTACCTTTTTTACAATTGGTCTTTTTTATTTGCAGATGTCGTATCTGAAGCCCGACCCAAATGAAAATATTGGCAGTAATAAACCGCATTTGTGCATTAAAATTGAATGCTTAAAAAGTCTGAACTATGAAAAAAATAGTGAAAAAGTTTCAAGGTTATATCACTCTACTGAATATTTGGAGTTGAGTAAACTACTTCTCACAACAAAGTGAAAACATCAAATGTATTTTATAATTTCTTTGTCAGTGTTTCTGTATTTTGTCACAGACGTTTGAGGCTTGACTGGGAGAACTACGGTGCCGCTGTTGATCATTTGGTTTGTGTTTAGAGCTTGTGTGAGAAAGTCCAGCCACACGCTAACAGTGATTGATGACCACGGAGAGAGACTACAGGCGTAACACAGTCATGGATAGCTGACACATGAGAGCCTCCTTAGACTGTTTTCCTCCAAAAACAGGACATTTATCTCGCATGTGAACTGTGATCAGTCGCTCTAATGAAACTTGTTTTTATTTCATTTATTTAAGGCGAGGATTTTGCACCTGCAGTCTCTGTGCTGAAAAGGAAAATATGGGAAAATGTTTCTCTGTCCATTTGTTTGTATAATTAGCTACATTTATTTTTACATCTGTCAATCATTATCTCCATTTATCGTCTGTTTTTCAATATGAATTTGGTTGATTGATTCCTGAACACCAGAATTAATTGTGGAAAAATGGTGAATATCCTGTCTAGTTGGATGAGGTGTAGTGAAGGGGTTAGAAATATAAAACTGCTGAAAGTGCAAACTCGTCACAGGTGTATTTACCTTTTGAGTTTTCCACAGATAATCCACTTACACAAAGATATAGATAGTACTTTAATCCACTGAAACAGAGGTAACTGCTTAACAGTTGCTTTAGAAGCTGTCTAAGTTTGAAATTATTCAGTGTTTTTTTTTTATTACACATTTGATACTAGGGGTGCACCAATTGCAGTTTTCTCGGGCGTGACCTGCCAATTTTGATTTTGGCTGATGCATATTTTTATTTTTCTTTGTCTGAAATGTTGCTAAATGTAGCAAGAATGTTGCTGGGTTGGCAACATTGAATATTTACTGCGAACATGCAGGCAGTCAAACTGTCTGTCAATCGTTTCTCACACCAGAGCAGTAGAGGACAGTGGCTGATTTGTAGACATTTGCCAAAATATATAAGATCGGCTTCACACGCGTCGCTGGATAATGCTGAACATTTAGTCCTGTGAAAGATTAGAAACTTGTGCTACAAGTTTCTTCTAAGATAAAACCTACAGTCAAACTCAACTGTGCCCAGAAACACACTCTGCCATCTTCAAATTGGAAACCCAGATGTGTGTGTTTTATGACTGAATATGAGCTCTAAGAGCAGGAGGTGACACAGAGCACAGCAGATAATAATTTTCTTCTTTTGTGTGGAATAAATCTTCCTGACTCTTGGTCTGTTCTGTTTCTTCCATGAAATGTTTCACTTGTCAAATTGCAGCCCCGGTGGCTAAAAGAGGTTTTTTATTAAAGGCTTCTCCGCAGAAATGTCAATGTATTAATACCGTTTTATGAAGGAGAACGGCAGTTTCAACAATGTGA